GATTGGCTTCCACCAATCTTGGTGCATCTGCCGGGGCTGAGGGAGCAATCCATCATTCCCGGGCTTATTGCACCCTTTACCTGAACAATATGGGGTTTCTTTTTTTTTTTTTTTTTTTTTTTTTTTGAGGTGGAGTTTCGCTCTCGTTACCCAGGCTGGAGTGCAATGGCGCGATCTCGGCTCACCGCAACCTCCGCCTCCTGGGTTCAGGCAGTTCTCCTGCCTCAGCCTCCTGAGTAGCTGAGATTACAGGCACGTGCCACCACGCCCAGCTAATTTTTTGTATTTTTAGTAGAGACGGGGTTTCACCATGTTGACCAGGATGATCTCGATCTCCTGACCTCGTGATCCACCCGTCTCGGCCTCCCAAAGTGCTGGGATTACAGGCTTGAGCCACCGCACCCGGCCACAATACGGGGTTTCTAAAACCAAAAAATAAGAAGGGATGGCTGTTGGGAGAGGAGCCAACAGTGTCTGCCACACCAAACCTCTCTCTGCTTAAAAATGTCACAGCAGAATTGCATCTGCAGTGATTCAAACCAAAAGCTTGAACAGAATCTTTTGATATTGCACATTTTAATTTAAATATTCTCTCATATCATGGTTCTCCTTAGGGCTAACCTACTTTCAAGTAAGCCTGAGTCTGTGAAGACATACTAATTTGTTCAAGTCTATTTTTTCTACAGGCTAGTACACACACCCTGGAATTTAATGGATAGTAAAATTATGCAAAGGATCACTGTGGGCAACAAGAGCTGGGGCATTTTCTGCCAAGCCTACCTCCAATACAAACATGTACACACAGCCATTGCTGCTATCCATAGAAGTTGCTCTTAAATAACAACATCCATTTGCCACACTGTGGAGCAAATGTGTTTCCATTCTCATGATTAAAATAATAAGAAGTCATCATTCTTGAAGTCTTGATATTTATAACAAAAATAGAATCTCAAAAAATATGTAACTGTGGAGACTCTTGCTGAGGTCTATTGGCAAGGCATCTGGTAGCATCCTAGGCTTCATGAAAAGTCCTGCATCTATATAATCTTACTTCTCAAGCAATGCTCTGATGTACCCTGAGGATCCAATCCAAGAAGGCTAAAAACTGCTACAGAAGTCCTCTGTAACCTCCAGCCTGAAAGGGGCCTCTGCCTCTTCAGCCAGTCTGGCGGGTCATGGAAATTCTACTCTTGCAAAGAGAGCTGTGGATACAAGCAAAGCATTTCTTTCAGTATTTACTTTGACTGGTGAAAGAGCCACAACAGAGTTTTTTCTTTTACCCAAGACACAAAGTGACATTTTAAAGTAGAAACCACTCTTGGTGCCATAGCATCTTTTAAAAATGATATTAGAATAAAAGCTCAAAGTCATGTCCTGTTAAGCACAGCTGTCCAAAGCCTCCTATTTTAGGGAGAATTCAGCCACTTTATGCAGACTGTTCATTTTAGCTTCTCTATTGGATCTCTATCTTTGTACTGAGATCACATCAGATTCAAAACTAGCGACATCCTCTTATGGTCTGTTTCCACAACCAGATCATGAGCTCTTTAAGATCAGGGGCCACATCTTGTATTCCTTTACTTCTTGCAGAGTTGTGTTTGTCATGGTAAACTTTCAGGAAATTGTTGTTGAACAGATGAATGAAAGAAAGAATGACAAAAACTGGAGAGCAGTGGTAGGTGAGTTGCTAGGCAGCCTGGTAAAGAGGATTACAAGAGTCAGGTCAGATTAGCAGAAAAGGTGGTATAGGGGAAAGAATGTTGTGTTTTGAGCCAGCAGACATGGGTCCTAGTCCCAGGCTGGCTTGCTTGTCTTCACTCATTCAGCAAACATTTCTTATACTTCTAATGAGCCAGGCAGGCATCGCAGCAGACACTGAAGACAAAATCCCTGTCCTCCAGGTGTGGTGGTGGTGGTGAGGGAAGCATGTGGAGGTCAGGATTATATCAGATCAGGATTATGGGAGACATGTATGAAAGATAGGAGGTATGATCACGGCAACTACAGGGCACATGGAAGCAAAGAGAAAGGACTTCTATATCAGACTAGATTCCAGGAAAGCTGCTTTCAAGGAAAGGAAAAGACAGAGGCACAAAATATAACAAGTTTGCTTGAGCCAAAGTGAGGACAGTTGCCTGGAAGACTCAGAGCCAAGTAACCTTGGATATGAGTTTCACGCTGCCTTTATTACAAGTGGGTTTTTAGAGGCAAAAAAGGGGGGCAGGGAGTAGGCTGGTATAAAATTGTTTGTCAGGAATTCACACTGGTTTACAGATATAACATTGCTCACTGATTGGCTACTGTTAAGCTACAGGGTATGGGTTACAGTGTCCAGTGTGACATTATTAGGTTAATTTAATAGCTACTTGTGGCAACAGCGAGGAGTTTCAAAGATGAATACATAGCTCAAAAGTGGGCAGTAGTGTTATCAGAAAGGGTTCCTGATCCAGATCCCCAGAGAGGGTTCGGGGATCTCATGCAAGAAAGAATTTGGGGTGAGTCTACCAAGTAAAGTGAAAGTGAATTTATTAGATAAGTAAAGAAACAAAAGAATGTCTTCTCCATAGTCAGAGAAGTGGCATGGGCTGCTTGACTGATTATACTTATGGTTATTTACCGATGACACGCTAAACAAAAGGTGGATTATTCATGTTTTGTTTTGTTTTGTTTTGTTTTTTTTTTGCAAAAGGTTTGCTGAGTTCTTTTCTTTTTCCACGTTCCTGGAGGACAGTTTTGATTCAAGTCTTAAAGATAAGAAGGTGTTGGCTTGAAATTGACCAAGAAATCTAACTGTAGGTAAAAGGACTTATCTGTGCGGATGTTGTATTTGAGAATTAAAGTCTCAGCTTCAGGTGAGACTTCAGGGTGGCTGTGACAGGAGATAACTTTAGAGACATAGACTAGAGTTACTTTCCAAAGGGACTTGCTGCAATATAATTTAGTAGTTAGGAGAAGAGGTTTAGCGATCGGACAGAACTGGGTTCAAATCTCAGCTCTAGTACTTACCAGCCATGTGATAATAACTGATTTTTTTAAAATCCCATCTAAGCTTTAGTTTCCTTAACACAGTGACTGCCTGTTATCAGTTGTCTATTGCCGCATGATAAATTATCCCAGAACATAATAGCTTAAAGCAACACACAGTTATAATTCTCGGTTTTGGTGGATCTGGAATCTGCACCTGGCTTAGCTGGGTCCTCTGCTTCAGGGTCTCTCGCAAGGCTGCAATCAAATGTCAGCCAGCCCTGAGGTATCATCTCAGGACCCAACTGGGGAAGGATCTATTTCTAAGTTCACTGACATGGTTGTTGGCAGAATTCAGTTCCTCGCTGACTATTGGCCAGAGGCTGCCCTCCTCAGTTCCTTGCTGTGTGGGCCTCCCTGACATAACAGCTTGCTTCATCAAAGTCAATGAGAGAGAGAGAGACAGTGTGTGTCAGCTAACAAGAGAGAAGCCACAATCTTATTTAGCCTTCTTCTCATCACTATTGCCACACTGTCTGTTAGAAGTCACAAGGCCAGTCCACACTCCTGGGGAAGGGATTATACAGGGGAATGAACACGAGGAAATGAGGATCACTGGATATTGTCTCAGAGCCTGCCTACCCCAAAGCTTATAGCTTAGTACCACTAAATAAATGTTAGTTATTATTATGCTGAATTGAGAGATAAAGTAAAACTACAGAGGTCCAGTGAAGGCTTCCAGATCAGGGAGTAACTTCAGGTGATGTTGGGCAAGTCAAGTCGTCTAAAGTCTTTGAACCTTCATTTCGTCCTCAGTAAAATAAAAATACCTGAACCCAGAAAGAATGAGAAAATATACGTGCGAGCATAAATACATTTTTATAACATCAAACATACAACTCTCCACTCTGAGGATGCAAACTGCCTTGGGCCAGTTTTCCATTTGGTGTCTGCTCTGTGAGTCTCAGTCTGATGCCTTCACGGTTTTTATTGTCGGGTCCAGTGGGCCCATAGGAGGAAACACCTACAAAGGGCAGTGTCTTTGGAGAGTCCATTAAGGCATTTCCAAGGATTTGCTTTTTTTGGTTTCTTTCTTTCTTTTCAAATATCTTTGCTTTTAAGGACCCCATAGGGGGCCTGGGAGAGAAAACAGACTATCTGGGAAATCTCAAGCTCTTGATAATAAAAATGGCAATAAAATCTCCTCCGGCTCTTGAGGCTTCGCAGAGGGGATGTTTATGGTGGATGGGGTTCCCCTTCTCCCGCGCAGCTGGTTTCGAGGTTGTGCGGTTTCCAGTCCGGCGGAGCAGCTCAGGTTACCGCCTCCGTGGCCGCACGGGGCAGGCAGCTCTGATGGCCGCAGCAATGGGTGAAAAATCAGTGTCTTCCCATCCCGGAGCCTCGTCCATTTCTGCTTGGTACCCAAACGAGCTGCCTTGTCCTACTCCCTAAACGGAGCGGATCACGCAGTCGCATTTCATGGTCTTCCCTGCTGCGGTTTTCCCCGGGGCAGGTATTTCCAGAAGATGGCCAAGTCTTCCCCAGCGGCCAGTCTTCCGGAGGGGAACAGAACTTAGGAGCCAGCCCCTCTGGTTTCCTACAAAGGCTCGCTTCTTCTCAGGGGGTCTCTGGGTGGAGAGAAGCAGCAGAGGCGACTGCGATATTGTCCCTTTGCTTCTTGGATGGACGGACGGGCCTCCAGGGCCAGGGGCGCCCGGGACCCCAGGGAAGGGCGCAAAGCTCATACCGCAACCCAGCCACCAGCCCGCGCCCTGCCAGACTGTCGGGCCACAGCGCGCCGGCCAGCAGCCGCACTCGCCGCCGCGGGGTCACCTTGGCGCTGAGCTCATCTCCGGCACCGCCGCAGCCCCAGACCTCGCGGGCCATTTGGTCCCGGGGGTGGGGCTCGTCCGGGCCGCGGGGCAGCCCGGATGAGAGGATGACCTGGGAGCTCCCTGGGGGCGGAGTGGAAGCAGCAGCTCTGTGCAACCCTGGCCAGGGGCTTTATCCCCGCCAGCCCCGCCGCTCCCGCGGCCGCTGCCTTAGAAAACTTAACGAGATCCAGATGTGGTGGCCACTGGCCGAACTTTCTCAGAGCCAGTGATTGGCTCCAGCCGAGGAACTCAGCCAATTAGCACGCTGGGCGGGCCTGGATACCCGCCCCGCCCTGCCCAGGAACCCATGGGGATCCAGGTTCGAGGCTGGCACGGCGCGGAGAGTGGGCTGGAGGCCGGGGCGGGACGCGTGGTGCAGCGGAGCAGCACACGGCCGAGCGAACATGCAGGGGGACCGGGTGGCCCGGCGGCCGGCGCTTTCGTCGTTGCCAGTGCTTCTGCTGCTGCTGTTGCTTCTGCTGTCGCGGGCCCTGGCGCTGCACCCAGACGAGCTCTTCCCACATGGAGAGTCGTGGGGGGACCAGCTCCTGCAGGAAGGCGACGACGAAAGCTCAGCCGTGGTGAAGCTGGCGAATCCCCTGCACTTCTACGAAGCCCGATTCAGCAACCTCTACGTAAGTTCAGCCCCCTCCTGGTGCGCGACTCGGCACTTTTCCCACACCTTCTTCCCAGGTGTCAGTCTCCGGGAATCCCCCGCCCGCAGAGGGAAGGAAACAGCTCCCTCGCCCGGAGCCCCCCCTCGAGCCCTTGCGGTGGGACCTGGTCAGAGAGCGATGCCGCTGCCTGCCCCGATGCTTTGGGGGAGTAAGAATGACCTGGAGGGGACAGCGGGACTTGTTGGCAGCCACATACGCTCCCTAGGCAGAAAAGGTGGAGTTGCTAGGGCGGCCAGCTGGGCTTGCAGATCAGCGCTCGAGAAGGCTGTGCCCGTCTGCAGAGCTGGCGTGTTCCCTCCTCAGACCTGGAGGCTTCCTCTCCGGGTAGAGAGGGCTCCCGGGTTGTGAGGGGAGTGAGAAGATAGGTGAACGAGTTTTAGGGCCCCTGGACCTACTGCATCGCAGTGGGGGTAAGAGGAGCTGGGACAGTTGCAAAAGTTGCTCTTGTTTCCCTGAATCCAGACTCGCCAGCCAGTGTGGAGGGAGAGGCTTTTTGCCTAGGGCAGTTCCCTTCCCTTCCTGCGCGTCGGGGTAGTAGTCCTTGGGCTTGAGCGACCATCACCTTTTTGTCCCTCTCCTCTCTCAGGTGGGCACCAACGGCATCATCTCCACCCGGGACTTCCCCAGGGAAACGGAGTATGTGGACTATGATTTCCCCACTGACTTCCCGGCCATCGCCCCTTTTCTGGCCGACATCGACACGAGCCACGGCAGGGGCCGAATCCTGTACCGAGAGGACACCTCCCCGGCAGTGCTGGGCCTGGCCGCCCACTATGTGCACACTGGCTTCCCGCGCTCTGCCGTGCGCTTTACCCCCACCCATGCCTTCCTGGCCACTTGGGAGCAAGTGGGCGCTTACGAGGAGGTCAAGCGCGGGGCGCTGCCCTCGGGAGAGGTAAGTGACAAGGGATATTTGACTGCTGAGCGAATTGAAGAATGGGCTCGAATTCTGGGGCAGCAACCCGGACACTGGCTCGGAGTTGTTTCTGAGCCTACTCGCGCTAAACCTGATGTTGGAGGCAGCAGAGCTGGAGTGGCTTGTAAGTGAGGGAAGACGTCGTTTCTAGGCATCTTCTGAGGCCTTGGCAGGTGGTCACTCCATTGAGGGAAAAAAAAAAAAATGCTTAGCGGATATGAGAGCGGGAGTGCAGATGTGGAGCCCCTTTGAACATAAGGCAATTTGCTGTTTGGTTGCTTATTTTTAGAACCATCTCTAAGTACACAAGTATTTCTAATTATATGTTCATTGAAGGAAAAAAAATCAGAAAATACAGAGAATTTAAAAAAGAAAACAACTGCTCGTTTTCCCTACCACTGATAAACATTTTTCTGTGTACCATTTTCAGAGTTTTTTTCTTCTGCATACCTTTATTCCTATTCACAATGATGAGTGTAATGTAAGTTGCACATACTGTTTTATAACTTGCTTTTTTAATGGAATAGTTATTGTGAATATGTTTCAATGTCAAAAAAATGTATTTCTACAACATCATTTATAATGATGCATAATACTGCATCCTGCTATTATCCTGCATAATACAGTGGGTTTACCACAGTATACTCAACCAGTATTCCCAGAGGTCCTTAAGGCTTTTTTCTGTTTTTTCATTATTATAAAAGATAGCACGAATCACAAAAAGCTAAATCTTTGCACATGTTCTTAGTTGACATTCCCGAAAGTGCAATTGGTAGGTCAGAGAAGACGCACTTTTGGTTAAGTTCTTTATAACTTTTGCCTAATTGCCTTCCAGGTACTAGTTTACATGTTCTTTAGTTTATAGGAGTCTGCCCTCAATGTGCTTTACGCTCTCTACCTGTGGGAAGTAAAAAAATCCCAGGCTCCTGGGCTTTAGTCTTGTCATCAACATTTGAAGTCCTCCAAATGGATATGAGTGGGGCCAGGGTGGCTTGGTAAATGGCCAGCTGCCTCATTCCTGGAGAAAGTTATGGCTTCCTTCTATGAAATTAGACTTGAATCCAAAATGCCATACTCCAAGGGCTGAAACTGTATGATTCATCTCAGTTTTTAAACTCATGAAAATGCTTCTTTACTATAGAAGGATGGCACATGCCTCCTGTATGAGGTGTGGTTTCTTGCCCACGTCACTGATCTCTATCTTGTAAGGATGCTGTGATATAAATCCTTTGCATGAGGACTCTATTTTTTTAATTTTGGAGGGTACAGAGTAGGTGCATATATTTATGGGGTACATGAGATGTTTTGGTACAGGCATGTAATACCTAATAATCACATCATGGAGAATGGGGTATCCATCCCCCTAGGCATTTATCCTTTGTATTACAAACAATCTAATTACACTCTTATTTATTTTAAAATGTACAATTAAGTTATTATTGACTATAACAACCTGTTATCACAGGTTATAGTCACCCTGTTATGCTATCAAAAGGTAGGTCTTATTCAGCTTTTTTTTTGGTAGCTGTTAACTGTCCCCACCTTCCCCTGACCCCCACTACCCTTCCCAGCCTCTGGTAACTATCCTCTTATCTTCATTTTGCATAAAGACTCTTTAAATGCAAGGTTTTCAGAATTAAAACTTTTGTCTGGTCCTTTTTTGGGGGTGGGGAAGGTTTAGCGCAGATTTGTAAATTCAATCTCTCTTTTGCTTTTCTAATTAAAATTCACCTTCAGACATTGCCATGTGCTAGTTGGCTTCAGAATGTTTCTGAATGTTCAGGAGGATTCTGTTTGGATAGGAGAACGTTCTTTCAATTACTTCCACGTTGAAGTTTCTTCTGATATTTTAAAGAGCTCTGGGACTTGAGTTCTTGTTTCAATAGTTCTTTGGAGATAGATTTTGGCAAACAGTAATCGAATTTGGTTGAAGGACTGAGTTTTACATGACATTCTTAAATTTTGGCTTACTAATCTTATATCACAAAGTTATTGGGAACTGGAAGATTCAAAGCAATGGCATCTTTGCCATTAAAAACAATTGCAGTTGGTGCCCTTTTTCTCCATGGATATTCATGTTTGGTGTGACCAGATGTTGCACCTGATAGTGCAGGAATGTCAAGGTGTAATTGTATCTGAAAAAAATGTGAACAAATAGTGTTTGTCAATTCAGTTAATCTGGGATTTCTTGAACTGTCACAGGTTCACAGAGCAAAAAGGTTATGATGTAGACCTTTGAAATACTTAGTAATGGGATGTGTAGAGAACTAGTGTTTACTTTAGCTGTGCTTTTTTGAGGGGGAAAGAGGAGTGTTTTCTTTTTGTCATTTTAGGGATGGGGTTAGGGACAACGGAGTTACAGAGGTCTCTGTAGTGTGGGGAATGTTTTGTTTACCTGGAATTTAAGTTGAATTGAAAGGGCTAAAACGAATGGATATTGAGAATGAGGCAGCAGAAGAGACAGTTCTGAGCTAGAGCATGACGTGAGAGAAGGTTGAGAGAGCTGGGGCCAGAAAAATGGTAGTAACATACGACAGATGAGTGGAAGCTTGCCTGCTAGGGTTGAGTATTTGTCCCCTCTGAAAATCATGTTGAAACTTAATCCTCAGTGTGGCAATATTGAGAGGTGGGGCCTTTGAAAGGTGACTGGGTCATGAGCGCTCTGCCCTCATGAATGGATTAGTTTATTCATTCATGGGTTACTAGATTATCATGGAGTGGGACTGGCTGCTTTATGAGAAGAGGAATTGAGACCTGAGCTAGCACATTAGCACACTCTGCTTTGTAGCCATGTGATGCCCTAAGTGCCCTGGCACTCTACGGTCACCACTGGCCAGAAGGCCCTCACCAGATGTGACCTCTCAACTTTGGACTTCTCAGCCTCCATTTTTATAAGAAATAAATTCATTTTATTTGTAAGTTACCCAATTTCAAGTATTCTGTTATAAGCAACAGAAGACAAACCAAGACATTGCCCAATGGAGGCCTCAACGTGGGGACTGAGACATGTTGACTTGGTTCAAAGGTTGGTAGTCATTGATGGAGGTGGTTGGATTCCACAGAGAAAATGAGAGGTAAAAGTGGACTTCACCAGAGCTTTTTGCCTTCTGGAGATGAGGTCCAGAAGAAGGAAGGTCTACAGTTTATCCTAGAGAGTTCAGCCTGAGTCTGAGATATAACTGTGAAGATGAAGAGAATAGAGGCATATATGGAAATTGGTTAATGCTGAACCATATGTGGAAATCAGAAATGCTGACGTTTTACTGAAGAGTCTCGGGAAGGACATAGTATTAGGGATGTGACAGCACTCAGCAATTGTCTTTGAATTTTTGGCAGGATCTGTAGGATTTAGTGCAGTAAAATGAATGAGGGACGATCCCATATGTGACAGTGCTCTATAGGCAGTGGGAGATGAAGAACTGCACTAAGGAATGGAGGTTAGTGTTTGCAGCAAACCCTGGACAGACCCACTGATCCTACAAATCTAGAGGACATGTGGTCCTGAGGAAGATGACCAAAGAGAACTTTGTGACCCCTGTAAGAGTCACCCTAATTCTTAATTTTCATTTTGGTAAGCCTTTATAGTCAAGCCCCTTAAAGAAAAGGATGTCACTGTTCTGATTTTTGGCCAGATAGCTGTGGTTTATTAAATGAATTGCGAAAATTAGAAACTCTTAGAGGGGTGTATGTTGTATGCATCAGCCTGGCTCTGCTGAGTGTCACTTCAACATTGATTGGGATGTCCTGTACCTGGGAGGGATAGTCCGGCTCTGGTTTCTGCAGAGGGCTCTGGCTTTTCTCTCTTTCTGATAACAGGGCCTGCAGCCACTCACCCTGATCCTCTATGTGCTGCTCCTCTCCCCGTGGAGGCCCCTCTCTCCTCTCTGGGATCCTGGGGGAGCTGGGAACCAGTGACCCTTTCGTCGGGTTTGGCAGCCCATCTGAGGGCTTCTCTTTGGAGGCAGAGCCTGTGGGGCTCTTGCAGAGGCTTGTATCTAGGAATGTGAGGACCTTTCCTGTTTGGAAGCCAGTCAAGGAGTTTTTTGAGAGGCGGAGCCCTTCAAGGCTTCATGAAGTGGGCTCTTTAGCAATTAGATGTAGAATTTTGTAGAACTGACCGAGAACTTTACAAGTGATCATTTAGTGTGTGGGTGGCTTTTAAACAGCCAGACTCCTTTGGCGTGTACTTTGGGATCATAAATTCTACTTAAAAGGAAGTTGTTTTCTTCCTCTGATAGTTGCCTATTTTGGTGGAGACAAAGAAATTAAATACTTGCCACCTGTAATAAGTGTTCATCTCAAGGGTGGCACACAGAAGACATTGAGTAAATTTTAATGGAAATGAATTTGTTGGCTGATTGGCTGAAGGAATGAATAAAATAAAGCACTAAATGCCTAGTGCGCACAGCGAAAAGCCAGACTTTCCCCATCACAGCTCTGTTTACTTCTCTCCTCCCCACTTCCCCATCCCCTTCGGTTCTTCACAGTCTATACAACCTCCCTATCTTATAGAATTCCTCTAAATTTATAACCAGGATGCTCTCCTATCTCACATTGATTAAGGGAGACCAATGCCAGGAACTTTGAAAGCTTAGCTTTTTAAAATGGGGTTCTTTCTCCTTCCTCGAGTACTTTCCTTTTCCTAGTTGACTTTTGTTTATTCTGACTAATGCACAACTCTGAAGTTATTGAATCCACATTAGCTGATGATGTAGACTATCTTATGGAGAGACATGATGCCAAACAGCCTTTGTTTATATTTGGCGGTAGTTGTGGCTTCCTAGCATTGAGAAACTCTAAAAACATTCCTTGCTTTTTGTTTTCGGAAAAGTCAAGCTTTGCTGATGAATAGTCAACAACTGGAACATCAACAAATAGACTAGGCACCCTACTACTTAGTGAACTGAATGAATGAATGAAAGAAGCAAACCCAGATGTTTTAGAACTAAAAGAAAGGCTAATTGTATTTCATTTTTTCTTGAAAAGTGTGTTACATCTATGTTTCTTCATCCTATTAGCAAAACCTCAAAACTCTACTTTGAAATTAGACGTTGAAGGGAAAAATTAACATTAGAAAAGAGCTAGACGGAACTGTGGGAGGAGACCTAGGACCAGACAAAGGAAAGTGCCCATTCCTTTCTTGCTGTTTCATTCCGTGAAACGTGATAGTCTTCTCTGTGCCTGAGTTTGTCTGTGTAGCAGAATGGAGAGGTAATAATACTTACCGGTAAATAATATTTCTAAGAGTCACATTATTTGTGAAGTAAATTGTATTTTTAAAAAACCCTCCCAATTCCTTACTAAATTGTGAAAGTAGTGTGATTTAATGAGACAGATCATTTCAGAGGCCTAAACAGAACACCTTTTAAGAGAATCAAGCACTGTTAACAGATCTTTTGGAGGAGTGGTCGCTGAATGAAGGTAAAGGCAAAAATCTTGTCTCGTTGAAAAATGAGGTTAAAAGGAATGTTAGGGAGTGATCCTATAAGGACCTGAGTGTTGAATTTGTGGCTAGTTGAGACTCCTGGTCTCTCTCTGGTCTGTGTTGGCTTCTGCAGTATTTATAACATTCACTGGCTGCCTCTGTGACACCTCCCAACCCCCACCCTGAGGTCCTGGGCACACACACCCACTCTGGCCTCTACCATCTTCTCCAATGACTCTCCTACAGTTTCAGCCGTGGCTGTTTCGCTGTCCTACACAGTGAGACTCTCCTGGGAAGAGTCTGTCCTTTGCACCTTCGCATCCTCAGCATCAAGCATGATGTCTCGTACTTAAGTAGACACTTAGCTGTTTGAATTAGTGTACGAATGAATAAATGAATGGCGTTTACAAACATGTAAACAACTAACCTTGCAAAATGAGGTGAATGCTCACTAGAGACACCCATAAAAGTATTACAGAGGCTCAGAGAACAGAAATATTCTATAGGGAATCACAAACTACTTGGAAGGCTGAGGCAGCGAATCACTCGAACCTGGGAGGCGGAGGTTGCAGTGAGTGGAGACTGGGCCACTGCATTCTAGCCTGGGTGACAGAACGAGACTCCATCTCAAAAACAAAAAAACAACAAAACAAAACAAAACAAAAAAATAGCAATTTGGAGGAATCCTGAGAAGGGGGGAAATTCTTTGCACTTTATGATGTTTTGCTTGCATTCTGTTTCTTTGTTTGTTTTTTAAAGAATGTTTCTCTCTCTCTCTCTCTCTCTCTTTTTCCACAGCTGAATACTTTCCAGGCAGTTTTGGCATCTGATGGGTCTGATACCTACGCCCTCTTTCTTTATCCTGCCAACGGCCTGCAGTTCTTTGGAACCCGGCCCAAAGAGTCTTACACTGTTCAGCTTCAGCTTCCAGCTCGGGTGGGCTTCTGCCGAGGGGAGGCTGATGATCTGAAGTCAGAAGGACCATATCTCAGCTTGGCTAGCACTGAACAGTCTGTGAAAAATCTCTATCAGTAAGTAACATTGAGCTGAAGTCCTTTCCTATTTGAATATAAGGACTTTTAGGAGGTACCTGAACACAAGTGACCATAAGACCATTAAATAATATCTTGGTGGCTTCTAAGCAAGGCATCAAGTCAAAATGAAGGAACTAGATTAAACCCTGGAAGGATCAAGTTCACCAAAACATAAAAGGTCCTTTATTTTTCCTGCTCTATTGGGTATAGATACTGGAAACAGAACAGTGTGTGTGTATATTTGTAGAGCCACTGAGGCTTGCTATGAAAAACATTGCTCTTGGAACCACATAAAAATATCCAGTCATATAACTGCCCAGTTTGTGGTTTTCCAGATTAATCATTTCACAGGGGGAAACACTGTGATTTAGTCTTTTGGACAGATACTGTTAAACATTAAACCGAGTAATGTAATTGGCAGGAAAAATAACTAAGATTTATAGGTTTCCAGAAGTCTGAGGATGTCTCTCTGGCTTCATTACCTACAACGAATTGAACCCATTTTTTAGATGCATCACTGTCTGCCCATAGTGGGCATTTAATAAATAGATGGATGAATGAATGAATGATCCAGAGGGCTTACTTAGCTAGGGCAATAATAAGCTCTTCTGCATTTTGCCAGTCCAGATAGTGCCAGTAAGATATTTATTAACTTCAGGGTTGTTTTTTGGGGGGGTTGGGGTCGGGGGGCGGGGTGTGCCCTTGCTTTTATTCTTTCTTGAATACAGAAGCCAGAGAGAACACATTGGCTACTTCCTGGCCTCCCTTAACTCCTTCTCAGTTTCATTCAATCAGTCCCAGATAGGTATAGGAACATCTTACACTTTTGCATGCCATCCGCTCTGCTTGGCTACTAGAAAGAGACCGTTATAGCCAGATTTGGTTACTGAGAGCTGACATTTATTGAAAACTTACTATTTGCCAAGCATTGTGTTAAACACTTTCCAGATGTTATCTTAATTAAAACTTACAGGAATTGTAGGAGGTTAGTACTACTATTTTCCTGATTTTATACAGCAGCTTAGGGAAGTTACGTAAATTGCCTATGATCTCAAAGTTAAGTGGTGAAGCCAAAATCCAAGCTTAAGTCTGGAGTGCTGAATTACTTATTTCATTTTATGCTGAGTCCTTGTTTCCTTTCCCATCCTTGTGATCCACAGTGGGCATCTTTAGGGCTCCATCTAGGCTGCTGCTTAGTCTGGACTCTGGAGCCAACTCAGTTCCTTACTCTCCCTCCTCTGGTTTTGTCCTCCTCATCTGCTTGGGAGAGCATAGATTTATCACTCCTCAGGCATTATAGGGAGCTCACGATGACCAAGCACATAGAATACAAAGATTTCTAAGACCCTAGTCCTGCATACCAGCAGCTTGTACCTTATTAGGGTTGATAGACAAATAGATCGACAATTACAGGACCCTGGGTAAGTGCTGGCATCTACACAGGAGGCAGGAGACAGTGGGGCCAAAAGGCCTGTGGGAAAAAGCAGCTGTGTTCCCTGAACTAATACTCACAGTCATGATGTGTGACACACACACACACACACACACACACACACACACACACACACACACAGCATTTCCATTTACCCGCCTTCATGCCTTCCTGCATTTTTATCTTTGATACTTCCCAGAAATCTCTGAATTGCTTGATGAAAGCAGAGTAAGATATGGGGCCGAATGACTCACATATTTTTCTTTAGTGTAATCCATGCTTAATATAAAAAATAAAGTACAAGCAATACAGAATGATGTGAAATAAAAGTAAAAGTTACCCATGATTACTACTTCAAGTGACAACTAGTGTTAACAGTCCTTCTAGGATTTAGGTATATACAAAAACTTTTAAAACAAAAATTATTCTTTTGCTATGTAAGTGGTATTTTCACCTTAATCACTTCTTAGAGGGGTCTTTTAGTCAGATGTCTGTCTATGTTACCATTTTAAGGCTATAAAACATTATGCATATATGTTCTGTATTATAAAGACAGCTTATTAATGAACATTTCACATATTTCTGATTTTTCTTGTTATAAATATCATTGCAGTAAGCAGCATAACAAACATTGCTCACAATCTCTTTTCTCCCTAAAATAAATTCTTAAAAGTGGAATTGCCAAGAAAGGGTATATGCAGTTTAATGTTTTAATGTATATTAATAAATTGCCCTTTAGAAATGTTGCACCAAACCATATCCTTACCAGTAATATAGAACTGTGATCAACAGTGTCTGTTCTCTACAGGCTTTTATTCTTTTTACTATTTGCAAATATAATACATACAAAATGTTCGTTTTTCCACATTAATTTCTTTGATTACTAGGAGACAGAATACTTTTTGTGTGTTTAATATCCATTGGCAGTCATGAGCTGCATAATGACATTTTGGTCAACGATGAACTTAATATATGACAGTGGTCCCATAAGATTAGAGTGCTGTATTTTTGCTGTGCCTTTTCTTTGTTTATATATGTCTAGATAAACAAGTACTTACCGTTGTGTTACACTCACCTTTGGTAAAGCAGTAAGATGGTGTACAGATTTGTAGCCTGGGAGCAATAGGCTATATCATATATATTATACAGTAGGTTGTACCACCTAGGTTTGTGTTAAGTATACTCTAGGATGTTTGTAAAACAGCAAATTTGCCTGATGATACATTTCTCTGAATGCATCCCCATTGGTAAGTGACACATAACTATGTATGTCTTTTGTGTGTTTGTGACTTGTCTTACCACATCCTTTTAAAATTTTATTTTAAGCTTTCTCCTGGAGGAAGGATCCATATCCTTTACTATTGGGGTGGTTAGGAAGAGCTCTTATAAATACGGAAAAACATGGTAAAGATATTAATCTTTTCATATGCTGTGAATACTTTATCCAGTTGTGGTCTGTCTTTAAATTTACTTATGATTTAGAAGTTGTACATTTCAGATTGTCAAAATTACTGGTCTTTTCCTTTCTGATTTTGGATCTTGGTGTTATTCTTAGGAAGATCTTCTGCACATCAAAATTATAGAAATGTCCTTCTATATAATCTTCTGTTTTACTTTTCATTATTTAAATTTTCAAAGATTTACAGAAAGGTGGAGAGAATAACTAAACGAACACCCAAATGCCCATCACCTAGATTTATACATTGTAAACATTTTGCCATATTCATTTGTTTGTTTGTTTAAATGTTTTAAAGTAAGCCACAGACATCATGCCAGTTCATTCCTAAATGCTTTAGTATGCATCTCTAAAGAGTCAAGTTAGGCTGGGCAAGGTGGTTCTAATTCCAACGCTTCATGAAGCCAAGGTGCAAGGATTGCTTGAGCTCAGGTATTCAAGGCCAGCCTGGACAAAATAGTGAGACCTAGTCTCTACTAAAAATTTAAAAAATTACTGGGTGTGGTGGTGTGCACCTGTAGATCCAGCTACTTGGGAGGCTGAAGTGGGAGGATTGCTTTAGCCCAGGAGGTTGAGGCTATAGTAAGCCATTATCATACCACTGTGCTTCAGCCTGGGTAACAGAGGGAGACCTTACCTCTAAATAAATAAGTAAGAGTAAAGTTATTTTCCTAGTCAGTTGTTCTCTTTTTCAAATTTGTCTCACAATTGTGAGCTCAAAGCTCATAAATTATATGGCTCATAATGTTCGTTATACTCTTTCTCTGCAAATATCAGTACACACGTGCATATTTTGAAATCACACTTTTCTGTCTTCTGGAAGACAAGACAGAAGTTACTAAGTATTTCTGACATATAGGACTGGTGCTAGGCATTTTGTTTTATTTTTTTAGATGGAGTCTCAATCCGTCACCCAGGCTGTAGTGCCATGGCATGACCTTGGATCACTGCAGCCTCTGCCTCCTGCGTTCAAGCTTTTCTGCTGCCTCAGCCTCCCTAGTAGCTGAGATTATAGACACACATGATCACACCTGGCTAATTTTTTTGCATTTCTGGTAGATACTATGTTTCACCATGTTGGCCAGGCTGGTCTTGAACTCCTAACCTCAGTTGATCTGCCTGCTTTGACCTCCAAAAGTGCTGGGATTACAGGTATGAACCACTATGCCTGGCCAGTGCTGGGCATTTTAATGTGGTTTTCTCATTTAATTCCCCTAACAGCCCAGGAAAGAAGGCATTGTTATCCCATTTTGTAACCCAATTTTCCTTTCTAGAAATAAATTAAGTTCTTTGTATTACTAAGCTTCCCAAGTGACCTTGGATTTTAAAATAAACTCAGATTGGTTACTTTTCTGTTATGCATAATGACAAAAGCTGGGCTAATGATTTATGTATAATTAGAACGTTATTTTATTTATCTTTTATTGGTCATAATGTGTATTTTTCCACTCTTTGAAGATTTTATAGTTTCTGTTTCCAACTTCAAGAGGAAATTTCATAGTTGCAACACCTGTAATGTGATAAATAAACTCAATATCCTCAGACTGTCAGGATTTTCTCTTACTGTCTTTAGTCTTCCTTATTTGCTCGCCAATAAACACCAACATTAATTGTTATGAACTTACCAAATATGCATAGCATATTGTACACAAGATCAGTTTTTCTTTCTATGCTTCTCCTTCCCTAAATTTACCACTATGGTAACCATAGCATATACCCTCACACATACACACACATGAATACACATATAAGAGAAAGACCTTCTCAAACTGTGCTGAAAAATGTTGTTACTATAGAAATCCACATGAACATGATGAGTACCAACCCAAATGAAGAAAGAGCTTTTGTTCTTATACAATTCAGTGACTTTTTCATTATCTTATTAGTCAGTCATTAACTCTTATTCCTCATTGACTGACTTTTGAGGAAATTCCATAGCATGGTAGAATTTGCGAATAGCGTTTTGTACAAATATCGGAAGAGTACACAAACTGGCCTATTCAGTTGTAGCCAGACCCTTGTTCACTCAAGTTTTTCCGTATTTTAGAAATCCTATATGTAGCTGTTCTCTTTAGGTTACATCATTGACTCTAAAATAATGGATTATTGGGATTTTTGGAAACTGAATGGAGTTCATGTTTTTCTTGTGGAGAAAATAAGTGAGCTGTTTCCAGAAGTCTTTAAAAAACCTCTAAGCTACTTTCTTGTTTGCCCCTTAACTTTAGTTTTCACTGAAAAAAAAAAAAGATATGAGGCTTTGGCATTTGTACCTCTTGGAATTTTTTGACATTGCTTCACCATTCTTTGTGGATTAGTGAATTGATCAGTTCAAGTGAATAAACAGTGAAATGTCTTTAACATTCTGTAGAGTAATGATAATTCAGATGCTTATTGACTGCAGCGTGTGGTATGGTTTTCTGTCATAATATAACGTAGATGTGTAGGGCATGGGCTTTGACGTTAACTGAATTTGGGTCCAATTGTTTCTTATGTGACCTTCAGAAGATCAGTTCACCTTTTAAAACCTATTATATCCTCTATAAAACTGAATATGATCTCCTCTAACTTGCAGATTGTGTGGAAGAATGTGAAACACTTGGGACAGGGAAGTGGCATCACCGACTCTTGAAAGCATGTAGTAGTCATCAGGTGTCAGTGTTTGGTTAAGAGGTTTAAGCACACATTTTTAAAATGTATTATAAGTTTTGGGACAAGTAGAGGAAGGATAAAACATTCCTACATTCCCTGTTTGTTTTCAAATACCCAGATTTTAGTTAAACCATTTTGATTGTAGAGCAGACTGATGATTTGATGGTCTGGCATTCTGTGGCATACAGCTTTGAAACATAATGCTAAATAAAAGGTGGTTCATATCAAAAGTCCCGTATGATCCTTTCAATTACCATATAAGTCTGCTTTTATCTGGTTTTATATACCAGTGAAAACTGAACCTGATCTTAATAACCTTTCAGGTTTTTTGTTTTTTTGAAACAGGGTCTCACTCTGCCACACAGGCTGGAGTGCAGTGGTGCACACAAAGCCCACTGTAACCTGGAATTTCTGGGTTCAAGTGGTCCTCCCACCTCAGCCTCCTGAGTAGCTGGAAGCACAGGCGTGTATCACCATGCCTGGCTAATTTTTTTAAAAAAGTTTTTTGTAGAGGCAGGGTGTCACTGTGTTGCCTACACTGGTCTTGAACTCCTGGGCTTAAGTTGTCCTCCTACTTCAGCCTTGCAAAGTGCTGGGATTGTAAGTGTGAGCCACCATACCCAGCTGTCTTTCAGTTTTAAAATAAGTTGCTCACCTTCTAGGAAGGTGGGTGAATGGACACATTTGTTACATTTGTTACAATGACTGTTTCCTTTTTATTTAGACTAAGCAACCTGGGGGTCCCTGGAGTGTGGGCTTTCCATATCGGCAGCACCTTGCCATTGGACAATGTCAGGCCAGCCACAGTTGGAGGAGACCTTTCTGCTGCCCACTCTTCTGTTCCTTTGGGACGTTCCTTCAGCCATGCTACAGCCCTGGAAAGTGACTATAATGAGGACAATTTGGATTACTACGATGTGAATGAGGAGGAAGCTGACTACCTTCCGGGTGAACCAGAGGAGTCATTGAATGGCCGCAGCAGCACTGTTTCCTTCCTCTCCAAAGTGGATACAAGGCCTTTAGAGGGTGGGATGTCCTCTCCAGATTCTGATCTATCTTCCCGCTTGCATCCAACACCTACTTATTGGCCATTCTATCCTGAAACAGAATCTGCCACCTTGGACCCTCACACCAAAGAAGGAACATCTCTGAGAGAGGTAGAGACCCCAGATTTAAAAGGCCAAGTTGAGCCTTGGGCCGAGAGAGGGAACAGAAGCCCAGCTCCACCAAAGGTAGACAGAGATTCACTGGTTCCTTCCTGGGAAACCCCACCACTCTCCCCTGAAAACAGAAGCATCCAGCCCTACCCAGATGGAGGGCCAGTGCCTTCAGAAATGGATGTTCCCCCAGCCCATCCTGAAGAAGAAATTGTTCTTCGAAATTACCCTGCTTCAGGTCACTCTACGCCCCTAAGTCGAGAGACGTATGAGGTGGGAGTGGAAGACAACATAGGTTCCAACACCGAGGGTGAGTGCATTAGAAAACTGGGTGCTGAGATTTCATCTTAACCGTGCTGGTTTTGCAGAGAGTTGTGATTTCTCTTTTAAGTGGGTAGGTGAAAAGTTTAGTAAAAAGATCTAATTTTTAATCCCTGTGCTTCAAGAGATAGAGTGAATTTCCTTTGCCAAATAAATCTTGGCAGCAGATTCTGTTTGGAATCTCTTGGTCATTAATAATTTTTTTTTTTTTTTTTTAAATATGGGCCTCATGAAGCGAGTGGGGGAAAACTGGGTTTGTTATGCCAGCTACGCTCTCAAGTGTAATGAACTATTTCAGTTTGAAAGTTCAGCAAAGGTAAAACATTTTGTGGCTTCGTGCGCATTCCAGTGATGGACGGGTCTGTGCTTTTTAAAGTGGTGAGTTGTGCTGGCTTAGATGAACATGCCAGATTCAGACTCTGTTACCGGACAACCCTAGCGTTGCCCTCGGTTAGGGAGATACGCTTGTGATGTGTGGGAGAGGAGCACCCACGGGGAAGGAAAATGACTGAACACCTGTGTCTGCTGTCATTTCTGGTTCATGGCTATGCAGCTGTGGCATGCACTTCCCTGGAGCCTTGTCCCCAATTCGTGACTCACGGATCGGACTGAGAGGCGAGGAGGGAGACGCCGAGAGCAGGTGTCGGTTAATTATCGTGGACACGGGGCCTATGTCAGTCCTCGTTGAGACCTGTCATGCCAGCTGTTTCTTTCCTATCAGACATGGAAAGATGTGAATGGGAAACTGACCCCAGATTTACTCCGTTTGTTCCAGGGACTGCTCCTCTGACCTCTGATAGGAAGAAAGAGGTCAGAGGTGACTGCTTTGTTCTCAGTCTCCATGTTTTTCCACCTTTTCTGTTTCCTGTCACTGTTGTGGCAAAAACAAGGCTGACCTAGCAGAAAGCACCTTCCGGGCTCTGCTCCGGTATTATCTGCAGGATAGTGCACGGAGAAGTACTTATTTCAGGAGGCAAGACAGTATTTTCTGACTAATGTGGCATTGTGTAAGGATTCAGGGGAGTCCATTGGTGTCCGCTTAGAGTTTGAATCCTGGCCTTCCAAGGTTGCCGGGTGACCTGAAGTAACTTATGTAACCCGTAAGCCTCTGATTTTTTGTGAATTTCTTGGGAGGATTCAATGAGACAGGATATTTGTGAAGTTCGTGGCTTCATGTCTGTAACTCACTGGTTCTTAACAAATAGTGGCTGCTGTTACTAATTTTAGAAGATTTAAAACAGTGGGAATGGGGCAGATGATGGGTAGAGAAAGAAGAATGTGCTTATTAAAGAGTTTTGTGTTAATTTGTGCCAAAGTTGAAGATGTAAATTTTATTGGAAGTCTTTAGAGCCTTCAGATCCTTCTGAGAATCTCCAGAATTGACAGTATGAGTTTCCTCTAAATAAATTTTAAAGCCATGTATCAAAAATTTTCTCAAAGGGATTTGAGGGAAAGATGCATTCCTGACTGGCGTTCTCATTTGGGGGTTGTGATTTCCTTCCCTGGGAAGAGCTTGGAAATATTAAAAAGCAGATCTATGGAGTCATGTGTTAAAGAGTTAAGAAGGGGCTGCACACCCTGCTTCAGGCTGTGAGAGGTCGAGGTGACTGGAGTCACAGTACCGGAGGCTTCAGGAACTGGCCATAGAGAAGAACAGAGGCACAGCTATAAATCTTGTGGGGCATGAACTATGATATTTATCAGCTGCCGGATGCAGTCTACTATAGACATCTTGGAAATGGCAAAAATGCCTGTGAAAAGCTGGTTAATACGTATTTAGGGAGAAAAAAGTCTAACTAGAAGTTTTTGTAGCTTAGACTAAAAAAATCCAGTTTTTTAAAAAAGGGATTTAGGGGGATGTATGAAGTATAGAAGCATGCCATGGTTAAATACTTTTGAGAGGATGCAGTGACCATTTCTTTCGCATAACACATTGGAGCCTCAAAGATCTATCTTTTAAGTGTGGACAGTGTGGACTTACTCTGGGAAGCCATGAGGGAGTGACAGAGACATGGAACATTGCCCAGTATTAAGGACCCAGCCATATGGTATCCAACTGGCTTCTTTTACTGGTGGAATAGAAAGTGCGTGGTTTTGGTGCAAGGTGGACTTGACCTTGACTCCCAGCTCTGCTATGTGGTTTGGGGCAAGACATAGAGTCTGTTTGACCCTTGGCTTTCCTCAGCTCTAAAACAGAGTTAATGAAGACCTCATCATGTACTTGCGAAAACTGAAATTGGGCTTCGGAAGCACCTGCCCAAAGCATCTGCCCAGTTTCCCTTTGAAGCTTCATAGTAGTCGAGATTTAGGTGGCTGGGTGCGGTGGCTCATGCCTGTAATCCCAGCACTTTGGGAGGCTGAGGCAGGTGGATCATGAGGTCAGGAGTTCGAGACCAGTCTGGCCAACATATTGAAACCCCATCTCTACTACAAAGAAATACAAAAAATTAGCCAAGTGTGGTGGTGTGTGACTGTAATCTCAGCTACTTGGGAGGCTGAGGCAGGAGAATTGCTTGAATCTGGGAGGCGGAGGTTGCAGCGAGCCGAGATCATGCCATTGCACTCCAGCCTGGGCGACAGTGCGAGACTCCATCTCAAAAACAAAACAAAACAAAGATTTATTTAAAGGCCCAGAAAAATACCACTCATTTTTAAATTTATTTTTAAATAAATGAGTCCCCGGACTCATTTTATGGACCTTTCTTTTTGTTCAGAAATGTAGATTCTTTTCAGGTCATGTCTACACTAGGCAGGAAGGTCCTGGCCACACTTGAGCTCTGTCTTCCTTGGCCACGGAACAGTGAGCAGTACGATGGATGTGCAAGCATGCTTTGTCTGAGGAGTCTTGTCTCTAGGAAGCTCTGGTAGTTTTGCTGTAAAATCAAAAAGTTACTCCAGCTCCTGCCATGTACCCGTCTCTGACTTGGTGATAGTAGCAGTTTTGGCTGGCATTTGCTGAGTGCTGCCTGCTGCTCTGAAGGGGGAACTTGGCATTAGATTGCATTGCCACGGCGAGTCCTCAGAATCGCCCTGTGGCGAGTTCGAGACCAGCCTGGGAAACATAGGGAGACCTTGTCTCTATTAAAAAAATTTAAAAATTAGCCAGGTTTGGTGGTGCTCACCTGTGATCCTAGCTACTTGGGAGGCTGAGGTGGGAGGATCAATTCACCCCAAGAGTTCCAGGCTACAGTGAGCCATGATGGTGCCACTGTACAGCCTGGGCAACAGAAGGACGCTGTCTGAAAAAAACAAAATTGTCCTTTAGAGTGGGTACTATCATCCTTTCCATTTTACAGAGATGGAAACTGAGCTTGGGAATACTTAGCAACTTATCTAGCAAGGGCAAAGACTTCAACAAAGCCATGCAGAAATTAGAGAAAGCTATAGGATGGCACAGAGTCAAAGGTACTGTCCAGGAGTCACTGCAGTTGGAGAGGGGAGGTCTTTGTAAAGAAGGAGGGCTTGAGCCAGGCCTCCGGTCGGAGTTTAAGAGGGAGAACGTGTGAAAACATTATGAACAGAGAAGTGACAAGAGAGGAAGTGCAGAGATGGGAATGAGGAGAGAGAAAGGGAGGGAGAGAGACAGAGAGAGACAAAGGTTGTTACCAGTGGGGTGTGAGAGGGTTGCCGGTGAGGGCTTCAGCTGCCTGGGACCATGGGACTGCCTGTGCTGTGAGAAGAATAGGGAGAATGAGGTTTGCCTGTAGGGATCTTAGTTATTCTTTAGCCTACTGAGGCAGTGCTATATGCAGCTAAATTTAATCTCAGTCTGCATGATGAGTTAGAAGGAGGAAGGACACCTGGCTTTCAGAAACCTCATGTAGTCGCACTCCACTTTCGGCCTTGGGACAGGCTGCTGGAATGTGTCCTAAGCTTGACTTCAACCCTGAGAAGAATTCAAGCAGGTGCTGCTGCCAATCCAACCCTCCAGGCGCCAAAGACCATCCCCTGGGTGCACCTCCAGGTTACAGTGGGTCTTTGACCAGGAGGCCCCTCCATACCTGTGAAGACACCTGTATGAAAATAATTCCTGGTAGGGGCCCTCTCCCTTCACCAGAAGTGGGGAGAGCCTACCAGTGTCAAGCCAGCAGGTTTAGAAGGCCACCCCCAGGGTTCTGATCACTGTTTGCCACCAGCATCATTAGACACCACACACATACGTTAAAAGTAAACAAACATGAAACTGGAGGAAAAAGCAGTCCACTGGTTTTTCATTGTAAAGTTGGATATGGTTTTTCTAACTAGTCTGTCATTCTGGGAGATGGGACACTTAGAAAAATTTGTCCTGCAGTGAAAATGCCCTTTTTGTTTTGTTTTGTTTTGTTTTTTTTGAGGTAGCAGTAAATATTGTTAATAGTGGCTCCAGCTGTCCTGAGGCAGCCCAGTACAGGAAGCCTCCTGTGTCCCTGTGTTGGCCCAGTGAACCCGGGCCAACCCAGGGAGCCCTTCCCTCTGGCTGGGCCAGGGCCCTCCGAGAAAAAGGGCAGGCCGGCCAAGGGCTGCAGACAAGTGCTTAAGTGTTTCTGGGAAAATGAAGATTGAAGGATGGCTCAGAACAAGGGCAGAGGAGAATTTCCCATTTTTGTCGCCAACTCCTAGCTAGGACAAGTCTCAAGTCCTTTGGCAGGGCATTTGTTTCTTTCTTCTGATGTATCCCCACCCCATTTTTCTTTCTATTAAGGACATGAGAAAAGTTTTTTTTAAAAAAGCATTAAATGGAGAAATAAAAATGAGACTTAAAAAGTGTTCATATTAAGAATCCCTTAGCAACTATCAAACCTCAGTTAACAAATCCGTGACAAAATGAGGTCATTCACACCTGGCCAGCCTCCACCCTCCTGCTGTGTCCTGAGGTGCCAGGAGACCCTGTCTCCTTATGGGTTGACCCTCTGTGGCAGGAGCTCCTTGGCAGAGTGTGAGTCCCAGAGGAGGCCATGGACTAGAAAGTGGAATTCTCAAAGTGTGGGCTCTCATCCTGTCACTCAGCTG